TTTTTTTTGGGGCTTAGTTCATGTAGAAATAAACCTGTTTTGGCTTGAAATTTAGCTGCTGTTCTGTGTGAAAATCCTGCTGTTTTGCCAAAGATTTCACTGTTCACGCGTACCAGTTACTGTTCACGCAGAAAATTCTGCAATTTTGCTACTGTTTTCTGCTCCTTTTCAGTCCGTTTCTGCTCTGAAAAAATCTGATGAAATATCCATTTTTCTGGTCTTTTAGCTGGCTGTAGTTGAATTCTAAAAATATCAGTTACTGTTCACGGGTGTTCACGGGTACTGTTCATAGTCACTGTTCACACACCGAGGGTTAATGATTAACGGGGATTTAAAGGTTTGGTTTGTGATATAAGAATGAATTTGGAGATGTCTGGTTATGTGGAGATTGATAGAAATAGCACGGTGATTAGGGGTAGTGTTAATGATGATTTCATTGTGAATTTGTGATAGTTCGGTATTAATTCTGAGGTGTTTTGATTAGGTTCCCGATTGTTCTGTCAGTTAGCACTGAGATTGAGTGCTCGGTTTTATGCAAGTGAGGTAAGTAAATCATGGTAAAGCCCTTCGATTTTAAAGCATGTTTTAAACTGTTTTTGAGATGGTGGCAAGGTTTAAATTGATTTTAAATTGATTTTATCAGCATCTGAATGTGATTAAACGGAAATGAGAGTTTTGATGGACTGAAATGAGAATTTCCTGGTTTTTCTAGAAATGAGTATGATTGATTTGAAATAAGATTATTAGTCTTTTTGTATCGATTTGAGCATGCCTACTTGAAGTTCATGTGATGGTCCTGACGATTTGAAAGTTATTTGTAAAGAATGATTTTCTGTTAACTTCTGCCTGTTTTGTCTCCGATGTGGTTATGATTATTGATGATCCTGCTAGTGGGGGTGAAACGCTAGCACATGTCGGCGCATGTCGATATGTTACTGATGATCCTGCTAGTGGGGGTTAAACGCTAGCACATGTCGGCCCATGTCGATATGTTACTGATGATCCTACTAGTGGGGGTTAAACACTAGTAATTCCTGTAGCCTGCCAGTGGGAGGTTTAAACACTGGCCGTGACCCATAGAGGAGACGTCTATTTCGTGCTCGTACTGTATCTGTTTTCGTGATTACACTTGTTGGCATGCTATGAGTTTAATTGACGGTTTTGTCATTGAACGTTTTGCTATTGAACCGAACTTGATTTCCGCATTAACGGTTTATTAGTGAAAGTTTTGTTATACTTACATGGTTTATCTGACATGTTAAAAGTTTTACCCAAGGGCTATCCATATTTACTTACTGAGTTTATCTCATAGTTTTCCTTGTCCACCATTTCAGGAAGTGAAACCGAGGACGGGAAACCACGGGAAGTGACGAGTTAGAAGGCTAGCCATTTTGAGATTGACATAGATTTTAGAAATAAATCGTGATATTGTAAACTCGACTTTATTGGAGATTTATGATATTGGAGCAAATTATAAATTTTGATCTTCAGATTTTGATGGTATTAGTTTGTGATTTGAATAAGTTTCGAGCCTTGTGCACTTGTGGGACCCGTCTCACGAGTGCACGGCATCTGTCGCGCCTCGGATTTGGGTTCTGGGGCGTGACACAAGAGGCGAAAGTTAGTGGGATGAAGAGTCATGATTGTCACATATTCATGCAAAGTCTCCTTTCAATTGCATTCCGTGATTTTCTACCAAAGCAAGTTTGGGAAGCACTTATTGAGATTAGTGAGTTTTTTAGAGTCTTATGTTCTCCAACCATTCGAGTTACAGATATGGAGATTTGGCAAGGCAAGATTGTAGAAACAATATGCCAACTTGAAAGAATCTTTCCTCCTTCCTTTTTT